ATCATCACGTTATTAGTCAATTTGAGATAACGAGTCGCACGCTCGCGGATTGACAGAGGAGGTAAAAAAGGGAAACCATGCGGGACAGGAGAATTCACTGACGAGAGAACACGGTTGGAGAAACTGAAAGTCGCTGACTAAAAAGAGCACTTTCATCACTGGGAAGTTGCTGAATTGAAGTTGTGGGTACTTGAACTGTGAGACGGCATCACTCCGAATTGGATCGAACGATTTTCCATGAGACTACTTGTCTGCGAACCCAGAAGTGGCAGTATTGCTGGACTGGCATTGTTTACATGTGAAGTTCGCATTCGCCCAGAAATCATCTATGAATGACATTGCCGCGAGTACCTCTTAATCACGAAGATTATCGATGAGTAACATTACCGTGAGTACCTCTTAGTTTTAGTGCGACTATCGTCAACGAGTGACGTTACCGTGAATGCCTCGCGCTGTGTAAGTTGTCAACAAGTGACAGTACTGTGTATTCCTCATGTATATACTAATATATTGTGTATATCGTCAATGAGTGACATTACTGTGGGAACCTCTTATCGTAAAGAAAGTGAATGAACAATCTATGCTCCGTTAATCTACTTATGAAGATTTCAACGAACGCATGGTCGAGACTTTATTTAAGTTAATATACCCTTCATCAACACTGTGCTCTACCACACGTGAGTAAATACAACTACAGTCAAAACTCGTTAGTACGAACTCGGTTACAACGAAATACCGGTTACAACGAACGAACACCGAAGTCCCGTTTGAAAATCCATTATCCCTATGGTAATTGACAACGCTTAGAACGAACTCGTTTATTACGAAAACCCGCTTAGTACGAAAGGATTTTCTCTGAAAAACAATGGTCTGTAACACCTATAGCGAACATTTCATTCACTCAAACAGCTGCGAAATCCTAAAACGAACCGCCAAATACATGGCGTTACGCTTCCGCTGTTGGCAGTGGGCTTGAGCTGTGCACGTAAAATAAAAACAATGTAGCCATTCACTGGGCGTGAAAATCTTTTGTGTACGTGACTTCCAGTGTCTAGTCACTTTCGACGCCCTTGCTGCTCGAGTTTTTAATTTTAAGATTCACAATAAAAAAGTGTGAAGCATGGACGCTGTAAATTTTAGATAAA